TGATTCCCAATAACGCTTTGATCTACAGAGAAATTCTTCATCCTTGCTAATCACCATGTAAAGTACATTCTGTGATGCTGGAGTGTTAGAGAAATGAAGGAAATACACTGAGGAAATACAGGACAAGCATCAATGCCAGCAGTCAGTGAGGTACATCCAATAACATCTTCATAGTGTTAAACCTCTTAGATCAACACTGTGATATTTGAAGGCAAGTATTTTCCATTGAGCTGCCACCCATGTGTTTGGGATGCTGCTGTCACAGCCTGCAACAGGAGATCACTGGATCTAAACTACAGTGACCCCTCATGAGGTCACTAATCTGGCACCACTTCTGCATCTTCAACAACTTTATACAGACATCTAAATGTCTTCTAAGTGTCATCTCCCTTAATTTTCCCATTTTTTAAAATCTTCAACATCCTTCTTTCTCTTATCCCCTTACTATTCCCTCATCTATTTTATTGAGGATTTCAGGGATTCACATCAACCGAAAAGTTTATTTAACCTTCAAAACTGCATTTTGAGTTGATCCACAGTACCAAACATGGGAAAGAAAATGTAATGTTTGGCAATTTCTCACACAATCAGACTTCAGTTTTAGTTCCTAATTACACAGTTTATGAGAAGGTGGCCGGCAATTTCAAAACACCAGATTTCTGGCTTGGCCTTAGGCTGTACCAGTCTTTTACTGCACACATAAGAACTTAGCCTACCCAACAGGAAAATGCAGCCTTTCTGCATCTGCAAAATGGGGTTTCTCATTGTCACAGGAGTCCAAAACTGAGCTATAATTCTGTGGGGATCCCTGTATTTGACACTTCAGGTATACTACACTATACCCAAACACATGGCTTCACACACGGAGCTGCCTGCAGCCAGCCATGAGAATTCATAAAAATACTTTCCACATCTATTTCTTGTTTTCAATACATTTTGTGAAAAGAAGGATAAGTAAGTAGATTGCTGAATTTATATTCTGCTTTCCTTTCTTTAGCTATCTTTCCCTTTTATTCTGTTGCCAGCTGAGGACTTGGGCAGCTCCACAAAACAGGCTGTGTAACCTGAACTGGCTGCAGGGTAGGTATGTGAAAAATGCAGCTTCTGACACTGGCAGGCTCTGCTGTGTAAACACCGGGAGTGATAGGTGAGGTGAAAGCACTGCATAACCAGCATGTCTCTCGTGTTTCCCCTTGTTGCTGTGCCCACTAAGAGCACAAGAGAATGTTAACAGATATGTTACTCAGAAATACTGATTTTTAAATCACTACATACATTTGAATAACATATCCCATAACTCTAGAGCTGCATACCCTCCTCTCTTAAAGAACTGGCCCACGTGGCAGAGGGGTTGCCATGTGATAAGTATTTGTTCAAGACTGCCATTACCCTGCTCTTTAAAGCACTCACCCGGAACCACTCTTGCTCTGCAGAGTTCAAAGATTCAGTACATGCAGTGAATTTGCAATTTCACAGGGGAATCCGACAGCTGTGTTTTGTTCAAGAGCAATTTAGTCAAAGCACAATTAAGTAATGCAATAATCATCTTGGTCTTTTTAAACTACAGCTTAAAAAAATCATATTTTTTTTTGTATGCATTTCTTATCTTCAGGTTTAGGCGTACCATTTAACTGAGTGATATTATGTTCCGAAGCATCTCTGTAATATAAAGCAAAGGAGTAACTTGATTGTTTAAGGCAATTTAAATATTTAAAAATCACGTATACACTTTCAACAACAACAACAACAACAACCACCACCTATCTGGTGTTTATAAACTCACCAAATGGTAGTTAAAGAGACAAGTAATTCAAACTATGTTTTCTATCTATCAAATTCCACTAGTAACCAGGTAACATTCAGCATATACCTAACCAGAACCAGTCTCCCTTCACTCCCTGACTTCACACTCCCATTACCACAGCACAGTCAGACCACCACTAAAATTCTTTTAGACCACCCACAACCCCTGTAATTGACTCTTACAAACAGGTGAATGAAGCAGACTGTGGTAGGAACTTTATAAAACCTGGAATGCACAGGCCCTACTGCTCAAGTGCTTCAGAAAGAAAGAAGGGTATAAGCAGACAAGAGGTTGGATCGAGACAACTTGTTCTCGATGAAGCAGTAATTTGCCAAAAGTAAGTCACATCCAAATTCTTAGCAGTGTTAAAGTGTAAACCATTCAGGGTGAAGGTTATAAGAGGTGTCTCCCAAAGTCAGGGGATGACACTACTGATGAGCAGCTGTGTGTTCCAGCAGTGGTGTGACTACACTCCCGAAGTTTTGAGAAAACATCCACTCGAGAAACCCACACAAGCATATCCCATTCCCCAGGCCTCAGAAGGGCCGAGGAGCTGAATACCCTTGTAGCTGCTTTGCTTCTTACCCCTGACAGCCCTGCGAGGCTGCAGTTCACAGACTGCCTCCCAGACTTTCAAGCAGACCCACACAGGTGCCCTTAGGGGCTTGAATTCCCGCTATTGGTACTTCCACCACAAGAATCGCCCCATCGCGATAATTGCAGGCTTGTAATTGAATCCCTCCTGCACCGGGAGCGGCAGAGGAATATTTCTGAAGCACACACGCAAATAATATTATAAAGGCACGGGGCCGGGGCGGCAGGCCTGTGACAGAAGCACGCTGTTAACAGTCACAAAAAGCAATAAGGAGGGTAGTAATAAATAAACAAATAAGTCTCCAAAGGTAACGTTCCCTGGGAGACGCCGGGGGCTCTCCCCCGCTTCAGGCGGGCCTCGCGTCAGCAGGAAGCGCCTCCCGCTCCTGCACCTGCCGCGGCGGGGCGGCCCCGCTGGCTCCCGCCCGCTGCCGGCGCTGCCCCCTGGGAGAGCCCGGCCGGAGCCCCCCGCCCGCACCGCCGCCCCCTCACCTGCCGCCCAACAGGCTCCTCGCCCGCTCGGCCAGCGCGCCGGGAACCTCGGCCCTGCTCAGGGCGCCGCTCCCCGCGGAGCTCCAGGGCAGCGGCTCGCCCGGGCCCAGCGGGGCCGGGAAGTCCCTGAGGAAGGAGCCGAGGGGAGCGGCGGACGGCCCCGGTGCCCGCGCCATGGCGGCGCCCGCTGAGGCGGCGGGGCGGGACCGGCGGGCAGCGCTGACGGCCCTCAGGGCCGCGCGGGGCGGGGCCTCCGGGGCGGGGCCAGAAACACGTCTGGAACGCGGGGATGGAGCGCGGGTGTCCCGGTGCCGCGGAACGGACGGGCGGACGGGCGGACGGGCGGACGGGCGGACGGGCGAGAGATTTGTCTGAGGACAGCTTCTGGGGCCCCTCTTCCCCGCACCATCTGCCATCAGAGAAGGGCTGAAAGCAGCAGAAAGGTGTTTCCCAGGGACGCCTCTTCCCCGAGCTCTCCCGGTGCTCAGCGCTCACAGAATATGCTGAGTTGGAACGGACCCATCAGGATCATCGAGTCCAAGTCCTGGCCCTGTGCGGGACACCCAAGAATCACACCATGTGCCTGAGAGCGTTGTCCAAACGCTTCTTGAACGCAGACAGGCCCGGTGCTGTTACCACTGCCCTGGGGAGCCTGTTCCAGTGCCCGATCACACTCCGGGGGGAAGAAACGTTTTCTGATATCCAACCTAAACCTCTCTTGACTCAGCTTCATGTCATTCCCTCGGGTCTGAAATCTGCCAGATCCTGTGAATGGCTCATCCTAAACACTTGAAATTCCCAGCACTTTATTTCCACTGGGACTAGCACAGCAAAGAGATTTTGTGAGCCAAAGTTTGTCTGCAAATAGCCAAAATAAAAGCCATGCTCGGAAGAAGAGGAAAGCATTCCCACTCAGCTCAGAAGCCATGGAGAATGACTAATGACAGGTTCCCCACACTTCCAGGACCATCTCCAAGCACCACAGAAATCCCAGCTGACAGACAGCTCCCAGCAGCAGCAGCAGCAGCAAGCTGGGCACACAGGGACACTTGGAGCAGTGGCCTGGTGTACCAGAGCAGACTACAGGAAATAAGAGGATTTGAACTGAATCAGTACAAGCAGCCTGAAAGCCATTATAGTTTAGGCCAAGACCTATGACTCTAAGGCACTACAGCAAGATGATTTTTTAAAGGTGTGCTTCTTTCTAAAAAGAAGCTATTTGCTCCAGGACAAAGGACATGGAAAGACTGTTTTTTACCAGAAAACTAAAAAATCCACCAAAAACAAAAAATCAAACTACTGAAAAAACTTTTACCTATGGCTGGATCTTTTAAGCAATTAAAACTATTAAAACACAGTTCATGTTTGAGCTGTAACTGCATAAACATTTGATCAGAGGAACAGGGCTGTGGAGTTTGGGCTGTGTTCTCTGGTTCAGTTAATGCACACAGTAGAGTTGTACATTACCTTTGTAGGGACTTGTCTTTCCTCTCTGTTGCCAGTAAATCCTGTGTCAGGTTGCTCTGCACATTCTGTGTTCAAATGCAGCAGCCTCTGAACTCTCATCCAAACACAACTAGTACTGACGCTGTTTTGGGGGTACAGGTGACACAAACTGTACTTGACCAGACAACCAGACATGCTCAGCCATGCGCACATGGAAGGAAAGGAGAGAGTATTATATATTTGTACAATTAGATTTTGCAATGTTGTACCCAGTGTCACAGTGGTTAGATACAGCTCCACACGAAACCATGAGGATACCCTCCTTTTGATAACAGAACTAGCCAACACTGAAATGATAATTTGGGGAACAGACAGTACAAGCTGTATTTCATCAGGTATGATCTGCTGTGTGACCACAGAGGAAAAGAAGCGCAGGGGTACTCAGTCTGTCCTCCAGCAGCAGAAGATCTCATTTAACTGGGCCCCATTGACAGAAGATACTAACTTGGCTGCACAGGTTGTAAGTTGGGAATCGCTGCTCAAGGCAGATATTCACTTTCACATTTATAATCTCCATCTTGCAGGTCTCAGCATTATTCACTTATGAAGCAGAGTGACAGATTTGAAGTAGTGCTCTTGCTATTGCAGATGTAATTTAAAAATCTGACAACTACTAGTCATTTATTATTTTTGAAGACTCAAAGTCAGATGAAGCAAGTCGCATGCCACACTTAAAGACTACAGCAGCATAACACTGATCTTAATCAGTTCTTATATTCCTGGCACTTGTATTGCTGACAAAGGAACCAGAAATGACAGAAGAGAGAAATTTCATTTCCCTTCTACCAGCCACAGGTAACAGTCCATGTAGACTCCTTGAGTGTCCCTATTGTTTGTGAGCTCTATTTTTATCAATGAATCCCAATCAAAAGCTTAAAGGTTTACTCAGTTACTAATGGATCATCCAGAAAAATTTGTTTTAAGATTAAATCAAGGCATACAACAACTTATGGTGTTCTAACTGTTCTAAGAACAGGAAAGCAGTGAAGATTAAAAACACTTAAAAATGACCTCCAAGAGAAACAAATTTTTGTATGAAGTTTATTTTACTGTTGTGTGGCCATTACACAAAGTAAGCAGCCAGAGCTGCCATTTTGTCCTTGGGTTTCTTTGGGTTGACCCTTCCTCCAGGTCTCCGGCTTTTCCCCCTTCCGCGCCCTTGCCTTTTCCCTTGTCCCCCTCGGTGCATGGGGTGCCTCATGGCTGCATGTTTCAGCTCTACCAGATCTTGGAACACAGGGTCACAGAACACGCAGCCGGAGTGCTGGGTCTCATCACCGGGTAGAGGAGACTTGGCTTTGTTAAAATCCACGTCCACGAGCCCAGCCTCACACAGGTCGCAGGTCTCCGGCGACACCCGCACCTTGTGGGCGTTCTCAAAGAAGTGCACGACGACGTTGCACTTGTTGCAGGCCATCTTCCACTTGGGCCCCGACGTTGAGTCCAGCACCAGGACCCCATTCTCACACTCGACGCACTGCCCAATTCCAAGCATGCTAAGGGAATGCTGGCACGTGGGGTGGGTGCATTCATTACAGCCCATTCCTAGCAGGAGAAGAGTAAAACTATACCACAAGGAACCCATTGCACTACTCACACTACACAGTTTGGAGGAAGTGAGACACAGAAGTCAAAAAACTTAGTATATTATATGTTTTCGAAATCACTAAAGAATGAAACTGTTCCCAAAATAGCAACTTGCCTCTTCACACATTCAGAATAATCCCTTTTTCAAAAATTTCTCTATAATGACTTTCAGAGTTGCCAGATACTGTCACCGTACACTACAGGCAGTTTAGACACGAGTGATGAAATTAGTGAAAACTAATTACATTTTCAATTAAATGCATGGCTTCTAGCTAACTACCACTTTATATTTGAACTACTCACTGGTAGTCCAAGACATTTTTAATTAAAAGATGATAATAAAATATATGCCGAAAAGCTCCTGTTACTCAGAGCTTCGATGCACTACTTTAAGTAACTTTTTGTCTCACAGCTACCAAAGTAACTGTAACTTTAACCCCTTCTTATATCCTTCAACAGCTTTTGACACATCATTTAACTCAGTATCATAACATTCTCAAGACCTGGTCTTCATCTAAAGTCCTACCTAAGCCTACTCCAATTTGCAAGGTGTCAGAATCTGTGTCTTTCACTGCATGCTGAGTGTTCTGAAGGTCACCTACAGTGCCTGCAGGTAAATTAATTTCTTTTATAAAGAAAAAAATTGTAAAAAATTAATTAACTAGTAAATTTTGGTAAGTTTGATGTGAATTTTAGGTATCCAGAATCTAATTTGAACGGCACTTTCTTACTAAGCAACGCTGATTTTAGAACTCCTAAAAAGCACATTGTAGGGACTGTACCTGATTAATTCAAGTGTGGGTGATATCTGCATGTTTACAGAATTCCTACCTTTTTTCATGTCCCTGAAAGGAGGATGGTTGTAACAGTATGGACACAGTGGATAGCTCTTTCCTCTGGATCCAGATGACCACAGCACCAGCTCAAAGTCATCTAGGGGACAACGCAGCTCTTTATAGAGTTTAATGGTACCGTTCTGTGGGAGACTGTAGGTGTCATCACAGTGGGAGCAGTGCAGGCGACTCGGCTTGGCCTGGAAACAGAACACAAGTCTTCTGAATAACTTCTTTACAACTTGCAGTACATCCAGCTGGAGCTGCTTTCTGATTTGTTCCCCATGGAAAAACTCCATCAGGCATTTTGTTTCAGAAACGTGCTTTGAGAACAACATTTTAACCCAAATTCAATAATAGAAAAAGAGTTTCTACTCAATGCCCTGCCCCCAGCAAGTGAAATTCAAAGTATGAAGTAAACTTACCTGAATATACTTCATGAAACGATGGCATTTACCACAGCGGGAAAGGGGTTTTCCCGTGGCAGCCAAGGGTGAAAAAGAAACTTCCATCAGTTCATCCATACCTGCAAAAGAAATAATCCCATTTATGTTAGAATTCTAGTTTTGAAGAGGAAACTTGAACAAAATCATCTACAAGACCTGTCAAGAAGTCAGAATTAAAGTATTTTATTCACAATGCCCTTCCTTGTTTACAAAGACATTTTAAATACACTGCGTTTTGCACTGAGCATGCATAAACCCTAGGTTCAGTTAGTCTCAAGTTTTCAAAAACTCACCACTACACAGACACAAAATAAATCTGCAGTAGAGTTTTGGAGACAGGATTCAGTCCATTTCCCTTTGGAGAGCAACTTACTTTGAAACTTCCAGTCCTGGTAGGACTTTTCAGAAAGCCTAAAACTTTGAAAGGAACCTAATATATAAGTATTTTCTATGCAACAATCAAATAATTGTAGGGAACTCTGCATGTAAAAAGTTTTACCTGCAATAGAATCCACAAAATAGTGAAATTTCCTTTTGAAAATGTCAAGGGTGTGCTCCAGGACCTGATGATAATTTGCTTTACCCAGAGCTATTAAGTTGAGTTGCTTCTCTACAGCACTGCGGATCGTAGGGAGAACCAATTCTGCATCTAACAGAAAACCAGAGACAGCAGCAATGCAAGGTTAAAAACGGAGGTAGGAAACTGTCATCAAAATAAACACACAAGTTTTAATTATTATAGTCTTTGGTTAGTAATACTTTCCTGGATACACTGTTTTGAGACAGAAATGCTACTTACACAATGACAAGAGCCCTTGAGATAGTGAAGGGAAAAGAAGGCAAGAGAATGGAAAGGGAAGAGTATTTAACTGACCTATTTTGTAATAACCATGAACCAGAACAATGCCAAGGTTTGTAGGCTTTAGTCTCCGACCACTCTCCACTGTGACATAGTTTCGCTGGCAAATGTTGTTAATGTGGACTGGAATACTGGCATCAGTTCCTGGCACACAAAGGAAAACAAAAGATCCATCTTGAACAAGACAGAGTTGTCATCAAATTACTCACTTCTGACTTCTCCAGTTTAATGTCAAATTGTAGGGCTCCTAAGACGGCTTAAAATTCAGATACCTTCTTACTGTTACCCAACTTCCAGTGCGTAGCTACTCTCTCTCCAGTAACTCTGATGTTCCTTTGCAGTTCTTAGAAGTCTGAAACATATGTCTTAACCTTAATCCTTTCATTTCTTCCAAGGAATTACTATTGGGAAGACACTTATTCTCACAATCATTTATTCTGGAAAAACACGGTGGAGTAAGAGGCTATGTTTGCTCTAACTGGACAAACTTCATAAAAATACCTCAAAGGAAACAAGTCAGATTGATAAAGAAAAGTAGCATTGTGGTAAATGGTATAATAAGATATAGAAGGATTACTGAAGACAGCAAAGCTGAAGCAAGCTGTAAAGACAAGAAATCATTCCTAAGAATGGGGAGGTGCTTCCTTCTCCACACATCAGCTCTTTCAGACAGAGAAGTGACAAGGATTTGTTATGAAAGGATATTGCTTTCGCAGGAAACCTTTGGCCAGAAACTACTGAAAATAAGGATGAGAAAGGGAAAGGAGCGTGGGGGAAGAAACAATCTACCATCTGCTGAGAGGAGCTACAGGCACTGTGGTTTGAAGGGGAAGAGATTATCACTGCATCTACCCAAATGCATGATGAGGTGTCATTACTGACAGAGAGGGTGCAGAGGAGCAATTGTGACTCTTTGCACTCTTGGTGGGTGTATTACAGGATGATGTAAGTTTAACAAGTTCCTACCAATGCCATGCTTTTCCATCAGAGTGATCAGTTCTGCTTCTGTCAGGTAATCAGGGGGACTGGTTTGCTTTTCCAGCAACTTTATTTCACCAATTGGAAAAAGATCTCCCTTCTCACAGCAGGGAAGGCTCTCTTCTAATGGGATGCTGTGCCACGGCATAATTTCTGTGAACCCTGGAGGTAAAGAAAGACAGAAACAAGCAATGAGGGCTTATCTCCACAGCTTTCAGAAAGTCAAGGTATATGTTTCTAGTTTTAACATGGACTGCATTTTACAGATCAAAGTTATGAGTGTCTGCCATACCAAGCAGAAAATATGTGAGGTCAGGAATGCTGAGGAAATACAGAATCTCAAGACAGTATCTCTCACTACGCCACATCAGATATATTTTTTGTGTGACTTCAATCAGTCTGATGACTGAAAAAAGCAAATAGTTTACATGAATGAAAGCACAGTGCCAGAATGATGGGAAGAGTTTCTTAAAAAGGAAATACAGATAGGAAGTCATATTAATGCAATAAGGACTATTAGGCCAGTTTACCATAAAAATCTCAGTACTAGTGCTACATTCTTTTTACAGAGGCCCAAGAAAAAAATCTGCCTTTGTGTAATTTATCTCCCACAAGGCATTTACTGTCTGCAAAAAGGCTGGTCTTCACAATGGCAAATGTGGCATTAAATCTTTGAGACTACTACATGAAAAATAAGACTTTTCCTATCATAATTGCAGTATGGAAATGAAGACAAGATTTGGTCTCTGGTTTTGACAGACCAAAAAATGTCTTCAAAATTGCAGTTGTCCCCAATGTTCCACTTTTATATACTTTCAGTGTATCAATGGGAAAAAAAATTAAATCTGTAGCCAACTACTTACTCCTGATTAGTTTTACCTGGTGAAGTTACCACCTTTCCAACACAGGTGAATCGTTCAGGGCCAATACTGAAGGCAATGGTGGTTTGCAGGTACTTGCAGTCAGCACTGACAGTGGCAATGAAGTGCCGAGTTATGTACTCGTAGAGCCGCCACCCGTCTCCACCTGGGGATTACAACACCTCAGCCATGGAACTCCAGTCCTGCAGATTCACATAGAATCTACTCTACAAAGTACCAGTTTCCTACAGGTATCACAGGAAAAACTGGCAGCTAAAAGAAAGTAACATTCAAAAGTCTGTCCAGTTCCCCTTTAAAATTTCCTGCCTATGTCACAGGCAGGAGCTGCAGATGCACTTGCAGAAGAACTGCCAATTTAGCAGCCCCTCTCCCAGTTTTGCAATGTGTTTGAATGAGAGGGCAAAGTAGGAAAGACTTTTCTATTTTTGCTAAAATAAAGACATATGAACAAAACCAAAATTTTCTACTGCTTAGTGCCCCTAGAGACCACATTATAACGTAAACCATAAAATGTGATTCTGGTGGCAACTGCCACTCTGGGCAGCTTAAAGAGATCACTCTAAAATAATACTTATTAACACTAATACACATTGATTTGCAAAACAAAGTTTCATTATTCACAATCTACATATAGGAAGTGGAATATTTGAAAGGTTACACTGCTATGAACAACTCCTAGTTCTTAGTCCTGTGCTTTGCATATTTTGTCTTGCTGTGTTTAAAGAAAAACAGCCATTCAGTAGCCCGTACAATTACTTAAAATTTTAAAGCATTTATTTTTTATCAGAGGTAATTTCACCACAGGTATCGGTTTTCTACAACCATCCTAGCTATTCTTAATAAACAATACAATTCATTCACTACACTTAGAACCTTAAAGTCCTCTTTAGAGGGAGCACAGTGTACAAAAAGTCAAATGTTATATTTTAATATAAAACCCAGAAACCATACAGACTAAATTAAAATGCAGTTCAAGTTTGGCTTACAAGCACAAAAATACAGTAATGTTTCCATACTTGGAAGCTACTATTCTGGGGCAAATTTCTCCTAGAAAAGTAGGCATTAAGTTGTTTTTTTCTTAGCAATACTATAGTCCTGAGGATCAACTACCAAAGAGCAGAGCAGCTCTGAACTTCACTGTCACCAGAAGTTTTACTGAGGATCAAGTTTGCTCTCTCTTCATTTCCTGCCATTCAAAGAATTTTATTTTCTGTTGAAACTCAGAGAGTTTCAAACTGGCACCTACACCTCGACGAACTAATTTCTTCACACAGTGTCCCAACACGACTGAATTTGCCTGTACCTAATTCTGCTTCTGTTGCAGCTCTCATTGGGGTGATGGGAGGATGGTCTCCTGCATCATGGCCTTTCCTTGGATGATTAATGCCTTCTGATAGCAATGCATTTACCTGGGTGAAGAAATTGCTTACTCAGATCCAAACCATAACAATACAACATCCATAAACAAAAGCAATTAGAGATATTTATCATTTCCGAAGGCCTAAGGGTTTTAATACACCAAATAAGATTTATTCTAAACACACACTAGCGAATGATGCTAGTACAGGTTTTGCTTCATGTACTCACAGTTTCTGCCCAGTAAGGATTATTGGCTTGTTGTCTCAGACATCCTTTCAAGTCAAAGTTTTCTGGGTAATGGGTGGTTTCTGTTCGAGGGTAGCTAATATAACCCTGAGTATAAAGACGCTCTGCTATTTGCATGGCATGTTGTGGACCCATTCCTAAGATGGGATAGGACAAAACAAAAATCATCTACACATTCACTGTGATTATGGTTTGCTGCATCTTAAAATATACCTTATCCAAACACCCAAATAAATCACAGCTTGTTCTTTCTGTATTCTGTCACCTTGATCTTCCCAAACGTTTCACTTTTGACAAGCTTTCTAAACTTCATCCTTTTCCCAAAATCATAGAATCATGGAATCAGCCAGGTTGGAAAGGACCTCTGAGATCATCAAGTCCAACCCTTGATCCAACACTGCTGTGGTTATTAGACCATGGCACTGATGCCACATCCAGTCTCATCTTAAAAACCTCCAGGGACGGAGAATCCACCACTTCCCTGGGCAGCCCATTCCAATGCCAGATTACCTTCTCTGTAAAGAATTTCTTCCTAATGTCTAACCTAAACCTCCCCTGTCACAGCTTAAGACCATGCCCTCTTGTCTTACTGACAGGTGCCTGGGAGAAGAGACCAATCCCCACCTGGCTACACCCTCCTGTCAGGGAGTTGTAGAGAGGGATGAGGTCTCCCCTGAGCCTCCTCTTCTCCAGGCTGAACAGCCCCAGCTCCCTCAGCCTCTCCTCGTAGGACTTGTGCTCGAGTCCCTTCACCAGCCTTGTTGCTCTTCTCTGGACCTGCTCCAGGACCTCAATATCCTTCCTGAACTGAGGGGCCCTGAACTGAGGGGCCCAGAACTGATCTATAATGATCTAAATGATCTATTATAAGGAGAGGAAAGTATCGAACTACATTTGATATGTCCTTGATTATTTCATTTGCAAGGCCAAAATATTTTGCTTTAAAACAGTGTGAAAATCTGAACTTTGCACATACCTAAAGCAGCACTGGCCACTCGTAGCATTTCTACCGTGTTCAGAGCCAGTGGTCTCTGCTTCACCTTCTCTTTTTTACTCACAGATTCTACCTAGAAAACAGCATTTTCCCAGTAAAAGTTCTGAAGTTTCCTAACTGGTAAATGTATGATTTCAATCATGACTATAAACACATATCATACCTACCATTGTCTACTCTTGTATCTGCCTTGTTTTCTTAAAACAAGCCACTAATATATTTTTACTTTAGAAAATCTGACTGGAGATAATTTTACCAAGTTCCAAAGTTAAAGTCCTAAGGATCCTTTGTGCTAAAGACTAGATCAGGTCTATAACTGGGAAAGCAGCAAGGCAGCCTATTGCTGTCTTTACTTCCCATTTACCTCAGCAGCACATACTTTCAGTGCTACAAGGACTTAGTGCTCATGGCCCTAACTATAAGGATCCAGATTTTTAAAAGCTCCAAGCAGTCTTTGAACCTCGATGTCTAAAAGCACTGAAATCCAAACATATTGTCAAACAAATATTGAATAGAGCAGAGCTATAAGTTAATTGGCTATAAAGACTGTACCATACACATGATTAAAAATTTAACTGCAGGAATATTGCCCTACACATAATTAAACTCTGATTTGTACAATGTCCCATGGGAAATAAGAGGTCAGCTTGGAGAGATCTGAACAGTATTTCCTAGCAGGTCTAGTAATGAAGAGTTCCTATCAGGAGTGATGATCACTTCTAAAGTCAGTATTAAGAAGAGGCTTCTGCTGAGATGACCACATCAGCATACGAACTACAACAAAAAAATCTCTTGCTTTTTATTCTCATTCACACAAAGCTGAACGAAGTAAAAAACAAGATACATATACTCTGCACTCTGTAACAAAGACAAACAAAAATCCTCAATATGCAGCAAATGAAATATTAATGTGAAATATGGGTCTACTGACACTTGGTAAATATTCTTACCCTTGCTTCTTTTGACATCTTTGTTATATTCAGGAACATTTGAGCAACTTCACGATCAAACACTCTCACTCTATCCCAATCTAAAGTGAGAGAACTTTCTTTTTCAGGGTTCACCTATTGGACACAATAAAAAAAAATCAATTCCCACCAACTCTACTACTGGAAGTGTGAGAATGCATATTCCCAACAATAATCCAGCAAGCAAATCCTAGGACATAAATGATTTGTTAGGACAAATTTAGGACAAACTCACACTACGATAAGTGATTCAAACACACAGTTCTGCTCCTTTTCACAGGGGCTTTTGAGAAAGGTAGAGCACTTCGAGTTCTGGGGGCTGGAGAGTGACTGTAACTATTCCTGCAGTGAACTAAAATACTATCCTTGTTTAGAGAGAACAGTAAAGGCTGAAGTGGGCAGAAATTCAAAGTTTACCATTTTGATTTAGCAAAATCAATCATTTGTATTAAACTGTAACTAAGTCATGTTCTAAGTCCCATATACAAAAATTAGTATGAAGCAACCAATACAAGAGAGTACAACATTCCCTGAAAACAGGCACCAAGCATTTCCTAGCATGACATGAGACACATCAGAAGAGATGACAGTAGACACCCAATTTCGTCTTTTTTTTTTTTTACCTTTAAAATCTAAAAATGGCAACTTTTTACCATGCATCCCTTATTTGTTTAAAAAAATCCCTGTGATCACAAGCTGTTGGTTTGCTCTCAGAGCTTGGACAGCAGCGAGGCTGTAAAACTGCTCTAAGCCGCCAAAGTACTCTGAGGATTCAGTTGCCAGTTAACACAATGAGCATTTTATTTGCTTTAAAATTCTAACACTCAGTAATGCCAATGTTTGTTCGCAGCCTAATTAATTCCTGAATTCAGATTAACAACAGTCAGTCCAAGGACCCCAGGGAACAAAAGAAAACCATTTTAAGTAGTCTTTTTGGCTGAATCTAAGCTTAGACGATCAGCACTGAAGAATTCTTATAAGCAGTAGACAATAGCCACTTTAATACAAAACTGACATCCTGGAATCTGTTCTTGAGAGTGGTGACACATGTGAACAGAATGAGAGCACATGAGTAAACTATAGGCATTGTGAATTCTCGTCAGCAGCTTCAAATTTATGAATGAATGAAATGAAAATACAAATGCATTTTTTTTGTAAAAATATATGTCCTCATATATAAACAAGTACTGTAACACTTACTTTAGCTTGCAACACCCAGTAAGTCTCAGGCTTAAATGACTGGATTTTGTCATGCCGTTCAACACAGAATCCAAGTGTTGGGGTCTGACATGGCCCAAAGGAGATGAGGGAACTGTCTAAATTCCCATATTTCCCCTGAAAATATTTAGTCTGAAACCTAAGAGAGGGGAGAAAAAAAAAAACAGACTAGGAACAAGTATATTAATATCCTCATTCCCATGAAAAAATTTTCATTAACATACACACACAAATACGAGAAATCTATAAAAGCATTCAGGCACTAGGAAAAAAGCATTCTGAGAAACACCATTTCTTACAGCTAATTAAGTCACAATCACTTTGCCTCACTGAATCCTGTTTATTCCCAAAGAAATGTGAGAGAACGTTATAGCATAAAATCATATCACATTTGCCAATAGTACTTTACCCAGTTCAGGTAAGTCCACACACAACCTTTTCATTCTTTTTATTTGTCTGTGCATAAAATTGTTCAGTTTGGGGCTGAACAGAATCAGCCAGTAGAGTTCTGAGACGTATTCTGGGGTGTCCTGCGTTAGGCTGTGGTAGAGTTAATCTTCTTCATAGAGGCTGGTACAGAGTTGTGCTTTGGATTTGTGCTGAGAACAGTGTTGATAATTCAGGGATGTTTTCACTATTGCTGAGCAGGGCTCGCAGAGTCAAGGCCTTTCCTACCTCTCACCCCACCCCACCAGTGAGCAGACTGGGGGAGCAAAACGAGCTGGGAGAGGACACAGCCAGGACAGCTGATCCCAACTGACCAAGGGGATATTCCAGACCATATGACACCATGCTCAGCATATAAAGCCGGGGAAAGAAGGAGAAAGGGGGGGAATGTTAAGAGTGATGGAGTTTGTCTTCCCAAGTCACCACTGTGGGTGTCCTGGGGATGGCTGAACACCTGCCTGCCCATGGGCAGTGGTGAATTCATGTCTTATTTTGCTTTGCTTGTGTGTGCAGCTTTTACCTTACCTATTAAACTGCCTTTACTCTCTACCCATGAGTTTTCTCATTTCTACCTCTGATTCTCTCCCACTGCCCCACTGGAGTGGAAGCAGTGAGTGGCTGTGTGGGGCTTGGCTGCCAGCTGGGGTTAACCCACGAGTGGACAGAACCATTCCTTAGCCTTCCATAAAACCGTCTGTGATCCGTGCTGTCACCTTGTGAATGCACAGCCAATCCTCAGATCCAGCTCCTGACGGGCATCCACGGACAGAGCCTCGTTGCGATTGGGTTCTCCCAAGTGATTCATGGCATTGCAGATGTCTGTGTCAGTGATGGAGCTGAATCTAGCTCTGTAAATCGACCTTTCCGTGCCACGAGGTTTGTTCATGACAGGAAGAACAGCATCAAGAACCTAATGAAAGTAAGATTATTTAAAAGATAAAGGGTTCAGTCAGGTTTTCTCTCTAAAGAAACAAAGAAACCAACACTCTCCACAAAATATTTGCCTGTATGACACTACATAATTCAGCAAGATGTCATGTCAATACACTAACTGATAGGCCAGAGCAGTATTTGTCCATCCACTCGAAAGTGCATTAAGGATTACCAAAACTGAAGGATTTATTTACCATACAGCAACCACTGGAAGCAAATCACTATTGTTGGCCAAATACAAAGACATTCACCAGTGCAGCTGCAGCACTTTTTGATGAACATGTACCACTTTCTCTCTGGGTTTATTCTACGTATTGCTAGGGCCAAGCAATGATACAATGGTATATAAAGAACTTAAAAGAATTACTTGATAAAATGTGCTTCTTTAAACAAAAACAAAAAACCCCAAACAAATACTCTTCGTGTAGACTTCTGGAAATAGGATGTTAAAAAAAAATCTTAAGAAAGTTTTAGTTCTACGTTTTTACATACAGAAACCAAATTCTTGCAGAAGGCCTATACTTAAAAGCAGCCTCGGTGCTCTAAAGCATCTAATTGCTTAACAGAGATGAAGTTTTACAAGGACAGGAAAATAACTACTCCAGCTGTGTAATACAGACCAACTCTGAAAGCACTGGAATGTTCTAACATTTAGGAGACCTGACTGTTATCTCAGATGAGCAACAACTCTGAAATCGATTTTTACTCTTTAACTGACATCTTACAGAGTTCAAAGCACGTGAGTTTTTCCACCAAGGCCCTCCACGCCTTTAGTTTGAATTTTACTGTATACTCATAAACCAATGCATTGATAGTATTGTCACAGACAAATATATTACGGTATTATATGTCTTAAAAAGAGACATCTTACTTCAAAACAGATGTTTTCTCCTTCTTTATCACAATCCAACCACAAGACAATACAATCACAGCCTCTTCCCTCCACCTGTGAAAAAAACTAGCAGAGTTCTTCAGCAACAAAAACAGCCCACCTTCCCTCTCTGTTTTGAAGTTCCGGAGATAATTTACTCGGTGCTAAAAGGATTGCAAGAATTAACCAGAAGTAATAAGAAGTCACCAGGTACCCAAACAGCGGTTAAAGAGAGGAGCAAGCTGTACTCCATGGGACCAGAAAACTGTATATAAGATGCTTTTATGAAAATAATAAGCATAGCTCTATAGCAGTGGAAGTCTCCTGAAACAGCTCCAGTCTGCATGCACAGCCTCAGGCATAGCCCCTTCCCTTTCTGGGCCCTCATTTCCAGATATAAAAAAAAAATCCAAAAAACCCTAACACACAAACAAACTGAAGAAACACTTTCCTAGTTCATAAAGATACTGCTAAGTCTAAATTTGTCTGACAGAAATAATTTTTTCACCACATACACTTGCCCTTCAGACAACGTATTATTTTGTAAAAGCAACCGAAGTCCTGCTTTCCTCTCAGCAGGACGTGTGAAGGGCGAACAATAACCAACACACTTATTTTAAAGAAGGCATTTATAAGCTCTGCCTTGCACTTGCTGTTAGAAACTAAACATCCATCTAATTCTACAATTCTGAAAGGCAGGATATCAACAATCCAACAACTCAGAAGGCAAAGGTAAAAGCAAATTTAACAAGGCAAGGATTTCAGACAGCATAAGAACCAGCAAAATAAAAAAAATAGATGTAACTGTGACAAAAACCTGCTCCTTGCAGGGGAGAAAATCCTAATTTAAGAACATAGAAAAAGATCTCTCTGAAATACTACTCAGAAGAAAGAATACCTGTAAAAACTTCACCATGGTCAGTTTGGGATTAGCTTCTTTCTTTTCTGTGGGAGCTTTGCTAAAAAGTTCTGCTGGATCCACCTTGTCCCAGCTGTTATATTTTCCTGAAAAGCAAAAGTATATTAAGACATATTAAAAAAAAAACCACAAACAAACAACAAACAACTTTATTTTGCAAAACACTTGACTTTCAAAATTTGTATGGAAAATTTTCTACCCTAACAAATCTTGCTTTATTGCATATCAAGGGTCCCCTTAGCTTTTTCTGTGAATTGCATCTATCATTTAGAAACATGAAATGTGAAGGAAAAAAAATACTGTTCATCTTTCAGAAATTTTAACATGGGCTATTAAAACACCTTCTCTTGTACAATCAATTGATCAAGGGGAAGGGCTATATTTCCTTGTTTATATATACATACACATATATATCATGTATATATACATATAACATGACCGCTGTAGTCTGTTTTACTGTTCATTACATGGCCAGTTATGTCTCAGCCCTAAAGTGCCCTGTGCCATCTGCTCATATCAATGCATTTGTTCATTTTCATTTCTCTCAAGTAATGTCAACAATATTGCTCAGCAATTACACAAAACTGTACTTCTTTAAAGCACTGTGTAAGTAAAGTTCTGAGGCAATTATAATTAGAAGAACTACAACAGTCACATGACTAGTCCAACGTTTCAGAGCAGGTTAGTGACAGGATTCTTTGTGCATAATCCTTACCAGATCTCTGTTTTGCAGTAATGCACTATAATGCTTAAGAAAATTTCCTTTTGGGGTCTGCGTTCTTTAATCATCTTTCATCCTAAGTACCAAAACACTTTTCCAGATAGGCAAATTAAGCCTCATCTCCCCTCATTTTCCAGCGATGTAATTCAGGCACAGAAAAGACAAGTAACATGACTGAGTCATGCAAGAGAACTAGAAACAAAAATATAGAACTGCTGACCACAAGCAATCTTTTTGTTCTCCTTTTCTTGCTCCTTCTCTCCCGAAAATCCTTTCTCATTTATTTCCACAATCAGTATTTTCCTATTAGGAATCCTTGACAGCTCTACAAGGTACTAGCAGCAGTTAAAATATCTTATGAACAAATACCTATGAAATCCAAAGTCATGACGTGACCACACACAGATGTCATCTTGAAGTGGGCACTCTGTCCAATAAAGGATCCTGTGTATTCATGCACAGAGCAGGCACCATTCAGTCCCTTGCGAGAGGACATGTTTCCTGTGAAAATAAAACCATAAATACCAATGGGATTAAATTAAACAGCTATTGAAATGAGTTATTTTGTGTGACATTACATTCCCCTTTTCTTAGATCTTTGTTCCTGATCACAAAAGTCTACTTATGGATCAAGTTTTCATTTCAGTTAACTACCACTTTAGGCCTTTTTTAAAGTATATTTCATTTTCTAGTTAAACTATACACTATCTCCTCCATCTTTTCCCTCCCACCAGGAAACCTTACAAAAATATAGACAGTTTCCTAGATGGCACAGTTATAATCAACTAATTTTATTTTCTGTGTAATTTACAAAAGTTTTACTATTGCTTCAAAAATCTCAGAACAGCAACTTGCTACCCGATTGGCACTTTCCAGAAACCAGATGCACTAACACACATTACAACAATATAAAACCAAACAGAATGTGACGGGACACCCAGCTCTTTTATGAACTGCAACCTGTCCCAGGTGGCACCTGCCCTGAGACAACCAAGTCGCTGAGCAGGGTAATTCTTAACCTCCCTGCAAGGACAGCAAACCTGGGAACCCTCGCAGACGCTTCCTGGCGGCTCCCACACCTCTCCCGGCGGGGCTGTGCCTCCGGAACGCTCCCGCTGCCGCCGGCACAACAACAGGCACAGCCGCACCCGTCCTACCTCTCGAGAGGATCTTGGCGATGGATTGCGCCAGGGATGGCTTCTCCGCCACCATCAGCACGGTCTTCATCTTGGGCTGGGTGACCCGCGGGGCCGCGGGGCCGGGCCGGGGACGCGGGGGCGCGGCAGCTCCCGAGCCTGAGGGGACAGAGCATCAGCGCGGACACCGCGGCGGGCGGGCACCCACAGACCCGCACTCGCGGGCCGGACCCGCTCCCACCTGAACTCTGAGAACAGAGTGCGGCCAAGGAGCCACCGCCCGCTCCGCCGCGCTCCGCCCCGGGCCCGGCCCGCTCCGCGCCTCAGCGAGCCGCCATGTCCGCGTCACTGCCGGGTCACGGCGCCGGAAGGCGCGGGCGGGCGGGTCCGCGGCGGCACGGGCGGGCGCGGCACACACAGGCATAAACACAGATACAAATGCAGACAGACACAAGGATACACACACGGCTACAGACACATGGATACACACACGGCTACAGACAGACACACGGCTACAGACAGACACATGGATACACACACGGCTACAGACAGACACATGGATACACACACGGCTACAGACAGACACACGGCTACAGACAGACACATGGATACACACACGGCTACAGACAGACACATGGATACATACAGACACACACACAGACACACACATGCATATACAGAGAGACATGTATACATACAGACACACACATACACGTATATAGACAGACACCTGTATATACATACACACACATACACACACACATACATACATACAGAGACACACATGCACACACACACATACACACACACACACACACACACACACTCCCCCCATATACACACACCCACCCATACGCACACACATCCTCCATACACGCGCCCCCCCCATATAGGCCTCCCCAATACACCCCCCCACACCCCATATACACACACCCACACCCATATACACCACCCCCTACTACGCACACACACACTCCCCCCATATACAAACCCACCCACACGTACACCACCCCCCCATACACACACGCTCCCCCCATATACACCCCCATACACACACCCCCCCCATATACACCCCCATACACACACACACACCCCATATACACCCCCATACACACACACCCCCCATATACACCCCCCATGCACACCCCCCATACACACACACCCACCCATACACACCCCCCATATACACCCCCACATCACCCACCACCCCCACACCCCCCATTGCACACCCCCCATTACACACACACCCACCATACATACCCCCATTATACACCCCCCATCTACACCCCCCATACACCACCACAACACCCATACAACACCCCCATACACACACACACCCCCCAAAACACCACCCATACACACCCCCCCCCCAAATACACCCCCCCCCCATATACAACCCCCCACCCCATCCCATATACCCCCCCATACAAACCCCCCATACACACCCCCCCAAATACACACCCCCCCTATTACACACCCCATACACACCCCCCATATACACCCCCCCATATACACCCCCCCATAAACACAACCACCACCCCCCATATACACCCACCCTACACACCCCACACGATACACCCCCATACACACCCCCCATACACACCCCCCATATACCACCCCCATACACACACACACACCCATTACACCCCCCATTATTATTACACCCCCCCTACACACCCCCCATATACACCCACCCCATAACACACCCCCCATTACACCCCCCCATACACACCCCCACAATTATACACCCCCACAATATACACAACCCCCCAATTACAAACACACAACACCCCATATACACCCCCCATACACACCCCATATACACCCCCCATACACACCCCCCATATACACCCCCCATATACACCCCCCCATACACACACACACACCCATACACACCCCCCATATACACCCCCCATATACACCCCCCGTACACACACACGCTGCCCCCTGACTCTAGCGCCCTCTGGCGGCGCGGGGTGGGGATGGGGGCTCGACCCCCTCGGTCAGCTCTGAGCCCGGAGCTGGGCACGGCCAGAGCTGGTGGCACATGCGGACCCGGCACAAGAACATGGGCAAAATGCGCGGCACCCCCCATATACACCCCCCCATACACACACACACACCCATACACACCCCCCATATACACCCCCCATATACACCCCCCGTACACACACACGCTGCCCCCTGACTCTAGCGCCCTCTGGCGGCGCGGGGTGGGGATGGGGGCTCGACCCCCTCGGTCAGCTCTGAGCCCGGAGCTGGGCACGGCCAGAGCTGGTGGCACATGCGGACCCGGCACAAGAACATGGGCAAAATGCGCGGCCATCCCTTCCTCCCACAGCCCACGCGCAGCGCTGTGCCGCGGGAAGCGCTTTTTCCGCGCGGTACAGCCGGGTGCGCACGGCTGCCTCCCTTCCCTCATCTACGCAGGTGCGCAAACCACGTATCGTCAAACTTCTCTAAGAGAACACGCACACAAATTGTGTCTGCTTTGTTCAAGCGACTGCATCTGTGCCCAGTTCGGCACTCAGGTTCCGGTTCTCATACACATGAAACACTACAAACAGTCTCTGACACTGACAGCATCTCCTTCAGTGAAAATGAATTTGCCCTTGAAGTATTAGGAGCACCTGGTACCCTTGCACTCAGATGAGGTAATGGAAACAATACTGATTTTTTGAATGATTCTTGAAAAACTTTTTTTTCCCACGTTATATTTAAGTTCAGTATTGATTTCTCACTTAGGCAGAAAGTGAGAGGAGGAGAGGGAAGGGGAAAGAAGTGGAAGGAAGGGAGAGGGAGGGGAGAGGGAGGGGAGGGGAGGGGAAGGGAAGAAGCACACGCTTCCCTCAGCCCACATTTTCCCTGGGAGGAGGCGAAGACTGCCTCAACCAGGTCCTGCTCCAGGGGCTGCAGCTCCTTTCCCCAAATCCTGGAGGGACCCTTTGCCCTGGCTGTCACTTCCCAGGAATGCTGAGCCCTGCTAAGGAAATTTGCTCAGTGGACTGGAACAGTTTCCAACCTCTCCTGCAGTCTTCAACCCTTCCACACATCCTAAAATCTTTCTGTCAAGGGAAGAGCTAAAGAAGGAAGCCCTAAGCTGATGTATTTTATAATCCTCCACTTAATTTTTAATCCTCCACTTTGTGGAGGAACGCTGCGCTCTATTTTTACCCCTATGGTTGTGCATCAGTTGCTGCCAATGTTTATAGCACTTTTCCCAGAGCTGCTCAGTACCATACAAACCCAGTGAGAAGGGATTAGGAAGCAGCCAGAATCAGGATGTATATCAACTTCATGCTGTCTGGAATAAAAAGGAACTAATTTACCTTCAATTTGATTAGTAGACAATTAATAGATATTGAAGTTATTATTATGAAAGGAAAAATTAAAACAAACTCAAGGCTTTTAATTCTTTGACAATACTGAAGTTAGAACATCTTAAAAAAATGTGTTCTGCTGGTTCAATGCCTGGTTCCTTTTGACATCTGGACAACATCTGGAACAATCAGGATGCAAGTTAAAACTGAGTCTTCAGATATGTCAGATACGTATTTTTTAATTTCCTCTAGTAAAAGCCCTATACAAAACCCAACCTTCCTTTTCTCTTTGAATCCACAACGTAACATGAAATTCCAACTTGTGCTCACCCAGGGAAACGCAGCTAGGTCTCTTCCACACGTGGCCGAGGGACTCCGGTCACTCTGAGTTCCCGTGTACCCCTGCGCTGGTACAGACGCGTGTGTGGCTGGTTCCTTGGGGCCACACAGAAGAGGCTTTCCCGGCCCGAAGAGATCCCACTGCTGAACACCCACATGCGCCAGCTCCGCCTCATGAGCGGACTCTGCAGGGACAGTGGGTCACGACAACTGCTTGGAAGTGCTTTGGAAAGACCTCGACAGTCAGAAAAGCCTCACCCTAGTGAGGCTGCAGCCTAGTTCTCCGGCATGCAGCTGCATCAGTCCCCGCGGTGCCGGAGGGCCGGGGAGCAGGGCCGGCAGAGCAGCGCGGGCGGGCGCTGGAGGGCGCTGCCGCCGCAGGAGCCGCCCGCGGTCCCCGGGGCGCGGCCGCGCTCGGCGGGGACGGGGGTTCACCGCTCCCGTCCTTCCCATCGCCGTCATCGCTCCCGCCGCTCTCAGCGCAGCACTGCCTCTGCACCTCGTCCTTTCACTTCGCTCCGACGTGCAGCGCGTTTTCTCCGGGAAGGGGCTCCTTCCCGCTGCGCCAGCCCGGGGAGCCACGCGGAGCCCCCGCTCCCGCCGCCACCTCCTCGCAGAGGCTTCTTTCACTGTGTGAAACGGCCACCTCAGGCTTGGCCCCCGTCTTTAGAAACACTTCTCACCATACTGAGGAGGCTCCAAAAATCGTCTTGCCAGACCCCACCGCCCCTGTAGCGAGTACCTGGGTCTGGGAGGCTTCTTATTCCAATCATGAGGAGAAACTCCAGGGAGAAGAGGCCATGTTCACCCAAGACACCAGTTGCTCACAGTCCTGTCGTCCAGGACTACTAACACCCTGCCCTTCACTTTGCCCAGCTCTAGCTGGTGTGCCTTCACTTTTCCTTTGAAGAGCTGAAGGCCGTAAGCACAGCTCTCCAGCTGTGCAAATGTGGCAGAATAATAAAACCCCCAGGCAAGCGGCCTCTCCTGTGGTTTTCACAAAGAAAACCAAGTTTGTTTCTTGCTATAAATAATTAGAAAAGGTTTGGTTTACATCAACTTGGTAAGCATATCAAATCAAGAAAGCTACAGCTCTGGGGAAGCACTTTGCACACTGAGGACACATCAATCTCCTTCCTGGTCCTGCTGCCCGTAGAGTCACAAGTTTTTCAACACCGTTTATCCCTCAGGTGGATGGTTATTCAAGCAGTCAAATCCCTCAGCCTGATTAAGACAATGATGTTTCACTTCTCCATTAGAAGATCTTGTGCAAGGATTAGAGCCCTGGACCTCCTCGTACTGCCACTGACTCACTGATTCATTTTGGTAACATGCTTTGGTGCCTCCTCCAGAGCTCAAGTAGCAACTTCCCTCTTCAGAGATGCTTTACTGATCTGTATGCATAAAGCCCACTTTAAGTGCAAGATAGAAAAAGCTACAGAAATACCATGCTCTCTATTGTAGAGAGCAAGATCCTTTCTGTTTTACTTCCCTGGGCTCATTCTTGACCTTAGAGTAACTGTTCCCTGTTTGTTTCCAAGCACACTTGAAAGATTGCCATGAAATTAATAAGTATTGACAGGAGGGTCAGGTAGGCAGAAACATATCTGGAAGGATGCCACAGATATTAAAAATTATGAAAATGTAGATCAAATTATTAAAATAGTTGGGATTTTTTTTTAAAAAACTACATAGGAACTACGAGGCCACAAAAACGTGCCTGAACTCTTGACTACAAATCTGGGCTCCAAAAACTTCAGTGCTGGGAAGAAGATAGAGCC